TTATATTCTAGTAAATAAGGTAAAATTTATCAGGTTGAGTTATATTGTAATTTTAAATTTTGGGTTTACTGCATCTTAGTACTCAGTGATGAAACAGACAATGATGTGTGATAAAGTGTATTGCTTTACTCCAAAATTGAAACATGACTCTGAAGCATTTTATTTTACACCAAGTGACAGGTGAACCAAAAAGGGGAATAAAGGTCAATGTTGGTTTTGAACCAATGTTATTCTGTTCTCCCAGCTAACCCTAGGAAAGTAAATATTATGTGCATAAGAGTAAATTTCTAATGCTTATTAAACCCCCTATTTATTTTTATTTGGAATTAATAATTTAACAGACTGGAATCAACTTAATGAAGCATTAAATAAATTTGTTATCAAACACTTTTTGGATCATAATGAAAACTGTAGATTTCCTAATTTTGAAACATTTTATGTCCTAAAAACCACTGTATTTTTAAGTCGCATGTAGCTGTAGAAAATTCAGGAAATAGATTAACATAATTTTATTTTCTATATTTCGTTTTTGTTCCTTTGTTCAAACTTGTCAAGGAATCAAAACGCAAGAAATTACTGATAACGTAGTTATTATTCAACTAGAAGAAGGAATGTAAGGTGCGATGATTAGCGGGAGTGTTTACAGAAAATATAGATAATAAAATCAGAAACACTGAAGACTGAAAGACAACTAAATTTCTACTCCCTTTTACTACAAGATTCTTTGAAAATTTGCAATACTGACTACATAAGAAACTCTAATAATAAGAATCCGGTGTCAGAAGCAAGTATTTAATCATTTCATGTACAATGCAACATAATTGACGGTGAATTAGATCATGTTATAACGCGACTATAATGCAACAGTATCCTCAAGCTACTTGTTTCAATCTAAGAAGTTTTCATAATAACGTCAGCTGACTGAATTCAGAAGGTGTACAGAAATGAATTGCAACCCAACAGCTGAAGTAAAACATTTCTATTTTATTGCTAACAAGTTCGGGAATTCATTGCTCATACAGTTAACTTTTAATAGTTTAAAGGGTTCTGACATAGATGTCTACTTGTGATGTATGTTTGTATTCGATTTTATTTCAAACAGCATAAAGATATATATTATCTCCTGTCTAGCATTTTAACCACAAATAATTCTTCGTAATTATTATAAACTCAGTAAAACTATGGAAATTTGATTTCTTAAAGTTCTGCCTTCAAATTGTTCTCATCTTCGGAACAGGTACTAAATAATTCGTCATATGGTGAATAAAAATATATTGCAGGGTTTTACATCAAATAAATAAATCTTATTTAAGATTTCATTCTAATAAAATGGTAGATGCATTTTTACATAATGACTGCGATTAATATTAACAGAAAAGATATAAATAAAAACGTAACTTAAACACCTGCAGCTGTATTGAATCATAGAGTTGAAACGAATCAAAATTTATAGGTATCACTAAATGATATCCGTGAGTATGGAACTGTAAATTGTTCCCGTGCATTATGAACACAGTAGTAGCAATTTACAACCATATTCTGAAGTAGCAAGGGATTCCAAAAGCAATAGATGTTAACAGAAGCAGAGACACTAGCGGACATGCTCAAACCACTATTGCAAAAGGTTTGGAAAAAAAGGAAGCAAGGAAAGGTATCTACTGATTGCAAGAAGAGCTACCTTGTTCTTCTAAAGCTTATTCATGCAGTGATTTTCCTTGATTCGTCTATTTTAAAACTTTATTTCACAATCCTCTGGACTTTGTTCTGAATGACTTCCAAGAATCGATGTAGTCAATCTACTCGTTTATCTGTTGACAACGCTGTAAGGTTCACTACCTACAATAATCTATTTTACTTCATTGTTTTGAGTGGAGTAATAGGAAATTTTCCATTTTCGTTTGTAAAATTTATTACAGTCCATTCTACACCCCCTTATTCAAGAGGCTGATGAACCACTGACTTGGAAAATAAAGCTGTAAGATAACAACAATGGTGATTCATAAGTGCTGGATTCTGAACTTGATCCTCGTGAAACAGTAACTGTCAACGTTAAAATAATGACCTCCTTATGCGTGGAAACCACTGAAAAAGAAACCTGCAAACAAGAATCACTCTGAGCTGTCAAAGTTGAGTATACATTATATCAAGAAGGCCGAATTAATGTCTTGCGATTATTTTGTAGCTATGCCTGATAACCAGGCAAAAGAAAATATGTACGTTCGCATTATAGACCAATTACTTAAAAAGAGACAGGGAGTATATAGTCAAACAACAAATTCAGTATATCGCTTGAAGATTCTTGAATATTGTTTCGAAAGACGTCTATCACATATCCTGTTTAACCACACAGAACACAAAAGAGTTATAATACTCATATCCATCATCAAAATTTACATTCCATTTGTTATTCATGTTAGAGGTATGGCTTTATTGACCAGAAAGAGTATCTAGGGTACATAGACGGAAACGCCGAAGCAGCTGTAATCCAGACAGCTAAGACCAAAAACACCAGGTGTTATTTCTTTCGTCATCGTTTGCAGAGGAATGCAGGATCCGCGTTTCATATTTTTAAGTGCTCATGAGCCAGATGAAAAACAACGAAAATCAGTGTATTTCTATAATCTTCTTCTAAGACTGACAAATTCTACTGAAGCTTACGACTTCGTTAGAAAATTCGTTCCTTTGTTTAGAAACCACTTTTCAATTACTAATTTGCCTTAAAGATCCAGTAAACGTTTTTCAACAATAAATGTAGACGTCATATCGTCTTTTGCTCATAGGTAATTAAACAAAAGGAATTCAGGGTAAATATAAGCAACAATTTGAAAAGATAAGAGCAATAAAACGAATTTAGAGCCAATGTGCTTTGAGATTCGTTTTCCTTTTAGGAATTACAGGATAAAATAACCTTTCAAGGTAGGCCTTTATACAGAAAGACTATGTTTTGTAGTAATAACTGACATAATCAAGCATTTTAGGCATTACATGCCAGTTTTACAATCAAACATCTTTCTTTTGACTAACAATTACGTTAATTTAACTCCTTTATATAGTCTTTTGGTAGTAAACGGAATAACCTTATTGAAGCAGTTTTTTCGACGTAATAACCTATGTGAAAAAATTCCATTCTTTTTATCATTTGCGAATGCATGACTCCAAATTCACCAACATAACGTCCAGTATTCAAGCTAAAACCAATTCATTGTGGAAATGAAGTTAATTTGTTGAGAGTTAACCTGCTTACAATCCTTAACAGGACCACTGTTGTTATTCTCGTAAAATAGTTTGTTTAAAAAGAAACGTTTTAGAAACAAACTTTACTACGTTTTGCTGAAAGCCTAAATTCAGGTCTTTTCGGCGAAGTTTGTTTCTTTACTGTACTACCAGCTGCAAAGCTGGGTTCATTGAAGCTAGGTGCCTGAAGATAATTTTTCTTACAGAATGGTGGTTTTTCGACAGCGTAAGCATGGGTATCTGTAACGCACTACTTTACACAAGACCACCCTTATTAGTCAGTTGGTGAGTGTACTGGTATGTTTTGAACCTGACTGGTTTATGCTCAGATTCCAGCTTTCTCAGAGGGATAAGCTTACAGACAAAAAAAGTCAACAATGATAAAGTAAGGAACCTCTCTGTAGGAGCGAAACGTAAATTAAACAGGTCCAATGTACACCTATATATTCACCAGGTGAACAGTCAAGTTGGCTTCATGCAAAAGATGAATATGCATGTACAGTCAACATTTTTACATCTTTGTAAAGGTGTGATGCACTGATGGAGATTTCTAGCATCACAGTGAAACGTTCGTCAACCAAATTTCTTGCCGAGTAAATAACTATCTAAAATATACTACATAACCGGATGCCGAAATGAAGTTGGTTTTATTCCGACTACAGCACGTCATGTCTCAAACCCCAAGCAAGTAACCATTAGTTAGAACTAGGTTTCATCTAGAGTTATTTTTTGATTCACTCAATCTGTAGTTGATTATTTTAGCAAGAATGTTTTACGCAAAAATATTTTCAATATCTGGAATAGTAATGAGTAGTTTTTAACGTTTTCGGGTCGAATGACAGGAATAGAATCTGATGTCAACAATTCAGTGGATTTTTATTTGACTGTTTTGCAAAATTCCTGATCACTTCTTCCTCTTGTCTAAATGTTTTGTTGTCTATTATAAAACTGAAACACCTTGCAGTGCCTCCAATTTCTCGATGATTTTACAATTAATATCATTTCGTAATAATAAAAAGACTCCCTTGAACTTTACGAATCCTCACCAACTCCCAGTTGAGTTAGTGTTCAATGGTTGCTAGCCACTTGCTTTAAGATGAAATTTCCTTGAACTTTGGTGAGGAGTTGGAACTTTTGAAGTTTATAGTTTAAGTTGTGATGACATTTATGACGGTCACTCTACCTTGTGGTTTGATGAAAGCAAACAAACGTTGACTGACAGATTTTAACTTGGTGATATGCTATATGTTAGACCTGGCGCTACTTGGCTTGATCATTCATGGAGTGGAGAGTAAGCATAGTTAACAAGTCCCTGAATGGAACGAAACAGCTAACAATTTATTGGACGTAGCAATCGTCAGTCAATCTCAAAAAAACAATCACATAAGAATATTTTTCTAGAACAGTAACAATGAATTACTTTTATGGATTTCGAAAAAGGTGAATAATAAAGAAGTTGGCAATAAAAACAAATGTATTCTACAACGTGAAGATATTATACAGCAATTATTGGTTCTTTGGGGAGAAAAATATGAATGAAAAATATAAGCTAAGCCACATACAGTATGTGAGAAGTATGTATGGGAAAGTATCTCTAAAAGTATTGGTGAATGCTAGACACACACTTTCAAGAAAAAAAATTATCCAAAGATTGGATACACATAATTGGTTTGTTTTTAAAGAATTGACCACAAAAACACGCACACGCTTGTACATATGTACCTATATGCATCCGTGTATTTTCAGAGTTAGTAGAAGAGAGAAGACACATAAGTGTTTCCACAATGATAGCTCATGAAGTGGATGACACATTGATTAGATATCTACATTTTGTTTCTTTTATTGTGTTGTCAGCACCAATGAAGTAATGTTAAGAGGAATATTCATATTCTAGCATTCATGTAAATCTTGACATCATCATCATCATCATTAATATCTTCATAATCTTCATGTTCATTATCAAGATGTATGATTTCGAAAAACTGAAATCGTTATGCGATAATGGATAAAGTGAAGATTTTATTCACGAATTAAACCTGATCACGAAATCTACAAATTTTTTTCGAAGTTCCCTCTTTTTGTAATCGGTTCAACTCGACTTCTTTTAGGTGTATGTAAATGTACATCGTTGTGTCCACATGCTTAAGACAATTTTATAACAAACGAAAAAGATATACAAAGTAGCACCAATCCGGTTTATCTTAGAACTGTTATCAGTTATGAGAATAACATATATATTCTACAGTGATGTAATCAATTGTCCATGGAATGAATCTACTGAAGTATGAATAGATATATGTTGTAGTGAACTGAATAATCGATAATACACACCTGGATTAACCTAATTAATTATTTAACGAATTCTGTGTTGACAACATAGACACACACTATGGATGCTAACAATGCTCTTAAACTAGGCAGACTATTTCGTGTGCCTTATGGAGGGGAAGGTGTTGATTTTGTGGATCAATTAAATTATCAGTTTACAAGTGGTATTATTGTGATGTTTATTGTGTTGATTGGATTTCGCCAGTATGTTGGTAAGTTTTATAAATAAATTTGTATGACAATATGATTGCTGAGTGGTGATTATGATGTGGATATGAAGCGTTATGTTGAAGATATGAGAGTGAATTCATTATTGTTCACATGTTTGTCTATAGCACTCTATATCTATCCATTCTCACTTGAAAGCATTAAATTTTCCAAGTATCGTAGTTGAGTTCTTTTTCTTTTCAATTATCCCTTTCTTCTTTGAGTTGTAATATCTAACACATGGATGCTGAATCCTAAATGACTTGAAAAAGAATGTCTAGTTCTGTCCATAGAAGCCATAGAACTCTTTCAACATGTTATCACTAGTACCCTAAAACTCTTGCCTATATTACGATACCTCTTCTAAAATTATGTGTCTACAACATATTTCAAGTCAAAGGGTGATCTCAGAAAAGCTTTTATTCTAGAATGAACACTATGCCATAAATATTGTATGAAACATTACCTAAACGGCTGAATGCTCAGTCTTACTGATCTGTATACTGAGTATATAACCCACGCGTCACAAGTTTATTTTAAATTGACCACGATTAGTTTGAGCAACAGGACAGTAGTGTGAACACGTAGACGATAGATATGTTGAATCACCTAGGTGTATAAACTAAAAGGTCATAATTGGATTACATATAGCTGCTTAGCACATGACCACAGACAGCACTTTTTATTTTTATTTTCAACCAGGTGAATGTTTTGTCTGGCAAAGAGTTATTTGTTTGTCTCTAACTGCACAGCCACTCACTGATAAGATATAACGGTTGGCTGACTTCCTATTTCATTTTGGAGTTAAAAACATTAAAATCGTGAGCTAACAGAAGTTGGAAATATGGACGATTGGATTCTGACCCAATGGCTCAATGGTAACAGGCTGGACACGGAACCTGAAGGTCGCAGCTTCGATCCCTTGTGGTGCGGAGTTGTGGGTGAGCACTGCTGAGGAGTCGCATACTAGGGCGAAACAGCTGTCCAGTGCTCGCATGTTTCTTTTGTTCCTGCAAGTGATGTCAGTCTACGATGAATAACAACTTAAAATGAGATTGTTTGATTTCAAGACTGCTAATTAAGTAAGTTAGTGAGAGAAGGCTGTTTAAGATGCCTTCGTTCACGTTGCACTATAAATCAGAGTATGCAAAATAACAAGTGAAACTATCTGAGTTTCAGCTAATCATTCTCATTTTTGCAATAATATGTGGGTAGAATGTGATCGCAATGTATACTACAGTTATTTAACAACAGGAATTTAAGATATCAGTGGATAAAAAGGAATGTTATTTGCACATTTTCAATTGCTTTTGTGGTATACATGTTATCAGTCACTTCAACCGATGTGTTTTTAATTGAAAAAGGTTTATTTAGCTATTGGAACAATCTAACGTAGTCATTAAAAGGGATACATATTTAATTCAATTAGGTATTCCACGTTGGTGTATTCTAAGTCTTGTTACAAGCAACTTCTTCACAATAATATCTGCTTTCATTTTTTAACTGCTGTCATTTGAAGATAAGTCACTTTCTATAGCATTTATTCAGCTAACGATTTTATGACAACGGGTTCTGTTTACTAACTTTGTTAAAGATTTATTTTTTGCATATCTCTCTGACAAAATAAACAAAACTACCAAGTAAAGTGCAGTGTTGCTTTCTGTGTAGACAAATAAATTACAACTTTGGAATGTGCAAATATGCTGCATTGTTTTGACAAAATTAAATTGAACTCTGTTGACTGGTATTCTTTTGATTGCTAACGTTGAAAAAGATGTTTTTATTTTGAACAATAAGTAACTGATCTACAAAGAAATTGCACACAATTTGACCTTACATTGTTTTTATTTGTTTTCAATGGTAAGCGATGCGTACTTCTACTAACATTGCTTGCTTACCACTTACTGTGTATGCTTATCGATTCTGTAGATTGAATACTTTCATTCTGTATGTGCCTAAATGGTTTCAAAAACAAATGGGGTGTCAAACATTGATAAACGCTGGTGGGAGACGACCCTCTTCATCTGTAGCTAAACATATCGTAGAAACAGATCACAAAGTTAATGTTCAAATAGCTTTCAAAGTTTTATGTAGAAACAGTCAAGGACGTATTCTGAGGTTTGTGGAAGCCATAGCCATACACAAATTGAAACCTTTCTTTATGTGTACACCTACCTTGGTAAACTTTGTTTTCTTACCAAGATTAGGATAAACTACGTCACTTCCTGTTTGTTCTCATCTTTCTTAATTTTAATCCCTATTGTGTTAATTGTTTTATTAATCCCCCCACTCCTCGGTTTAATATATATTGACTTGACAAGTAAATGTGTGATCAGATTGTTCGAAGTGTATTGCGCAAATACATCACACTGTTCAGATAAACTTCGTCTTCTAATTACTCTATCGAAATTACCCTTAGCTGTGTGAACTACTTCAGGTTAACAGAAGTACCAACCTCTAGACCATTGCATTCCTTCACATTATTTAAATGGTAACTTGCTTACCATGGGCTCCGATAGTCCGTACCTTAATAGCTTACAGGGTCAGGAGTGCCAAGTGTTGATGGATCAGGCACTAGAAACAAGTCACTGTTCAATTCTTTCAACTTTTTAGTACTGAAAAATTTCTTTCAGGCATCTGTTTAACTGAAATGCCACTCATTTAGTTATGTAAATATTTTGCAAATTATTTGAGAACTACTAAGATGCATTGAAATTTGAGGGTGAAGAATTTACTAGAAATCCAACTTTGATATCCCAAGCGTTATCTAGTGGAGTCATTCACATTTTAAAACTTTGATGCAGAACTCTATCTCTTCCAATATTTGGCTAATCATTCATTCATTTTATGGTTCACTAATGTGTGAATACTTCGTGACTAGATTAGTGTGATATGAATTGCAATTATTTCAGTTCGTCAGGGGTAAAAATTGACAACAAAAGAGTAACTCATATTTTGTACTTTAGACCATCTTTATATGAATAACGTAAATGATGCCTCATTACTTTCTATACTGAGCACTTTTGAAATTATTCTCTGTAAAGTTATAAGCTTTCATTTACAGGAATTGGTTTATTGATCACTGTCAGAAACGGATAAGTTCAGTGACAAAAGATGAATAGATTTTTGCCAGCAGGATAGCAATAAATGCAGCTGTTCCGCATGATTGGATCGTAATACAGCATATTTTCCAAAGTATATTTGCTACTTTTAACCTTGTTTATACTATGAATACATCTGTGTATGTGAAAAGATGGCTACCTGTCTTAACAATAATAAGAACTTTATTATTATTATTATTATTTATTATTAGTCCCTTGGGTTCCTAGTGCAACATAGGGCTTCAGTAGCACGTCTCCATTTCATCCTGTTCTCTGAGATCTTTTGAACCTGGTTCCACGACAGCCCACAACCTCTCATTTCCTCCTCGCACGACCTTCTCCATGTCACCCTCGACACCGACGTCCAACTCGTCGCTTCCCATCTGGGTTCCACTCGAGTAACTGGCCTGACGCATGATGTCCCCAGTCGGCCTTCTCAGTGCATGGCCAATCCATCTCCACTTCTTCCTGCATATTTATTGCGTAATAGGTTCTTGGTTGGTTTGTTCCCAGAGTTCCTTGTTGCTTATTCTTTCTGGCAATCCATCTGATCTTCAGTAGCGAGGCAGCGTAAGCAGTTGTTGATGAATGTCTGTAGTTTATTGGAAATGCCTTTCGTGACGCGCCAAGTCTCTCAACCATCACACAGAAGCACTGACTTGACTGGGTTGGTGTTGAAAATCCGCATCTTGTTCACACTTTATGTTGAGTGCAGAAGATCTCCACACTGGTTTCAGGCTAATGAACACCTGTCTTGCTTTTCCGATTCTGACTTTGACGTCCTCTTCCGTCCTGTCTGTAGTTGAAACAGCGCTTCCTAGATAAGTGAAGAAGGTTACTTCCTTTAAGTTTCTCCCGTTGACGGTGATTGGAGTTTGTTGTTGTTGTTGGAGTTGTTGATGCGGTATCTTCATCACCTCTGTCTTCTCTATATTCACCTGAAGTCCCGTCTTCGCTGCCCTACCTCTTCTATCAACTTGTTAGTTTTGCCTGTAGATCTTCAAGTTTATGTGACATTAGGCACAAGTCATCACTGGCGAAATCCAAGTCTTCTAGGTTCTTTTCCGCAGTCCAGCCAGCGTATCCCCCTCTTCTCGCTGCCTACTGTTTCCTGCATGATCCAGTCCAGTCCACCACAATCAGGAATATCATGGGGGATAGCAGACAAACTTGTTTCACTCCTGTGAACTTTAGCATAAGCTTATTTTGTTAACCTTTTTGAGAACCATAGACATTCATTTCAAAATGATATAAGATTATTCACTAGGCTCTTAAAGAACCAGAAAACTGATTGTCTCATATTTTATCAACTAGATTGGTCAACTAAGATATTAAACTGTGTTTCTATTTGACTTGCATTTTACTTTATCTTGAGGGTGAGATTTATGAGGGGAAATCTGAGTGAATGCTTGGAGTCGAAGGGATGCAAATCATAGTTTGTGGCCCAATGAAAAAATTACTTTCATTTTTCTATCACCAGAAAAATAGTAATATTACATTGTTTTGATCTGTTAAAGCATACGGCTTCAGTAGCACGTCTCCAATGCTCTCTGTTCTCTGACACCTTTTAAACCTGGCTCAACAACTGCACTGTTGGTTGGTTAATTCGTTGACAACTACAGTGAGTTCCTTGTTGCTTATTCTGATTATTCTGGCAATCCATCTGATCTTCAATAACGAGGCAGCGTAGCTGGCAGTTGTTGATGAATGTCTGTAGTTTGTTGGAAATGCTTTTCGTAACGCGCCAAGTCTCTCAACCATCACACAGAAGCACTGACTTGACTGGGTTGGTGTTGAAAATCCGCATCTTGTTGATGCTTTATGCTGAGTGCAGTGCAGAAGATCTCCACACTGCTTTCAGGTTAATGAACGCCTGTCTTGCTGTCTTTCCAGTTCTGGCCGGC